GAGTAACTTTTTAGCTTTTTGGCTTTTTTGGATCTTCCCAAACTTGCCCTTAGTTTGATAAAAGTAAACAATAAAATGATAACTTTAAATTTTTAAAATTATTTTCATTCCAAAATAAAGGCAACACGACATGAAAATGAGTGTTTTTTATTTTTATTTTTTCAGTAAATTAATTTTTCTTTTTTCCAAAATAAAGGCAACACGACATGAAAATGAGTGTTTTTTATTTTTATTTTTTCAGTAAATTAATTTTTCTTTTTCTTTTTTTTTTTAAATAAAGAGGGATGCATTTATAAATCTTGTTTAGAGTAGTTCTAACCCAATAAGTTTACAAAGTATTCTTATAGCCTAGTTAATCCTATTTATTTGGACTTTTATTCCAAAAAATAGATTATGAAAATAAAACAAAAAAAAAATATTGGACATTGTTGTGTGTGTGTGTTTTTTTTTTTTTTTTTTAACTCAATATTCGACCTAATAGACTAACTAATTTGAGAAACCAATCCTACCATCCGTTAATTGGGAGTTCAGTTAAAAACATGTAAAACTTTATATAAATTAATCTCAAAAAATTATTTGCAAATAAAGATTTTGAACCTGAAATCAACTCTAAATCTAAGTCTTAATCACCAAGTCAACCCATTCAGTTTCATTCAACGTTGTGGGGGACCACTGAACCATTTCAATCACTTTTCAACATTAATCTGCCCCGAACTTGCGGCAAGAAACTTGTAATTAGATGTTGACTGATTTTTTTGGGTCTGGGGAACCATTTCAATCACTTTTCAATAGGGGTGTTCGCGGATCGGTTTTGTGCGGTTTGCGGTTCGGTTTTGACCCGCCCGCATCTATGCGGTTTGGGAAAAAGTCAACCCGCAACCGTCCGCAGTGCGGTTTGCGGTTTGTGCGGATAGGGTTTGCAAATGTGCGGGCGGTTGCGGGCGGTTTGCGGTTTACACTTTTTTCTTTAAAAATTAATTTTTGAGTTTTTTTTCCCAGCGAATTTAGGCATCAGATTCATTTTATATATTTGTGATAACAATTTTTTGACGAGTTTACAAATAAAAATTGAATATCAATGCATTAAATGAAAGTACCCGAAACAAAGAGACCCTACACTAGTATTTTTGCCATGAAAAAAATGTATATCAATGCATTAAAGGTTGTACTCAATTAGAATTGCCAGTTCAGTAATCAATAATCAAACTATAAGTTCCATCGACCATTAGAAGGAAAATTTTATTAAGAAAAAGTGAATGGATCACCAATGAAAATCATATAAGAAACCAAGTTTAGGACTTTATAATTCTACGGCATTAAGAAAGTTGAGAAATACTTAAAAATAAGGATCCTAGTGTCATAGAGAATATAATAGTGCTCCTGTAAAAGTTACAAAGTTGGTATATAAAAAATAACAATAATAATAATAATTAAAGTGCGGGCGGTTTTTGCGGGTTGCGGGTTTAAACCGCGACCCACCCGCAACCCGCAAATTTGTCATATTTCAAACCGCATCCGCCCGCATTATGTTTGCGAAACCGCCCATTCATATACGGGTTGGGCGGATTGGGCGGTTTGAGCGGTTCGGATAAACCGTTGCCCACCCCTACTTTTCAACATTAATCTGCCCCGCACTTGGGGCAAGAAACTTGCAATTAGATGCTGACGTTATTTTTTGGGCAAAGTACATATATCCCTCGAGATTTAACAAAATTACAGATGCCTTTTTAAAATTTGAGAAATTACAGATATCCCTAAAGGTACTATTTCCATAACAAATTATGGGACAAATTGTTATGAAAATATAAATCTCAGGGGGCAATTTGTTATGAAAATATACACCTCAGGAGGTATCTATAATTTCCGAAATCTCAGGAGGATATCTGTAATTTAGTTAAATCTCGAGGGAGGTATATGTAATTTGCCCTTATTTTTTTGGGTCTGGGTATTACTATTCTTGAAAAATATTAAAATATACAAAAATAAAATAAAATTTACTTATAAATCTCATCGAAGAAATGATGATATGTTTAGTTCAATAATTTTTCTTATAGACCAATTACTTCCATTGATTTTGAAAAAGTAAAATTAATATGTTATTTGAAAATTAAATTTACGATTATATCCGTATTTATATATATTTTTTCTACCAGAAAGGTATGATACACAACCTATGAGAATCAAATTTGGAATGAATTTTTACATAAATTTTTTTTTATTTATTTGGAATGACTTGAAATGTGAGATTTTTTAAATATTTCAAAATGAGTACAAAAATGGCTTGAAATATAAGATTATTTAAAAATTTCAAAAGGAGTACAAGAACTCCTTCGTAAGATTTGGGCAAATGTATAGTTAAAAAAAAAAAAAGGATTTGGGCAAATATATAATTCAAACTGTAACACTCCAATATAATACTTAAACATAACACTCCAATATAATGCTCAAAAAAAAAAAAAAACTTCTTAATGTACTTTTTTTAAACATAACAATTCAATATAACATACAAAAAAACTCCTTAGTGTACTTGTTGCCAAACGTAACACTCTAAAAAAAAGATGTGGGATTCTTCAAACCATTCCAAAAGTAATACAAAAATTCCTTAATAAGTTTTAGGCAAATGTATAATTTCCAATTATGAGTGTTACGTTTGAAAAAGTATACTACGAAATTTTTTAGTGTTTTTTTGTGTGCATTACATTTGAGTATTACGTTTGGGATTACATTGATTAGAGTATTACTTTTGGAATTACATTAATTGGAGTGTAACGTTTGGAAAAAGTACACTAAGGAGTTTTTTTGTGTGTTACATTAAGTTTTTTTTGGATTGTTACGTTGTTATATTTAGAAAAAATATACTAAGGAATTTTTTTAGTGTGTTACATTAGAGTGTTACGTCATTAGAATGTTACATTAGAATATTACGTTCTTATCCATAATGTAGGATTTGTTCAAGGAGGGAAAATTCAAAACCTTTATAATACGGATTACCTAAATATGTAATTTTATATTTGGAGAAACTCACTTTTATCCCTAAAAAATTAAACTCAAACATATAAGTTATTACCATTTTGTGTAATTTCTACTTTAATGGGACTTTTAGGTTCATAACAAAAAAGAGAGGACTAAACAATTCACAAGATCACATTTTAGAATTTATTAGTGTTTCACCCAAAATTCTATTGGTAACATTATTGTAATTTTAAAATATAGTGATGTTCTTTTTTGTGCCAAAAGAAAAGTAATAGGCTTTCTTGAAAAAAAATGAAATGAAAGAATTTCATTTTTTTGGTCAGATTACAAAAAGATAAGAAAATTAGTTGTTTGCTAAAAAATTAATTTTTTTTTTCTTTGGTTATTCATTGAAAAATATGTATATGTAATTTTAAAATTTTGTTTTTCTTTTTGGGATGGGATTGGCCATGATACATGGTTAGGACATTCTAATTTGTTAGGTAGAGTCAGGGGGGTGTAAAAATGGTTCGCGGGCCTGAACTTCATCCAAGGCTTAGCCCAACCCAAACCCCCCGAGCTAACCCTAGGCCATGCTTTTTTTGGCCACGGCCTGGCCCACCTGACGCCCAATGTCATTTTCAAATTGTTTTGTTGAAATTTTTTTCAGAAGAAAATGTCAGGCCCGGCCCTCTAGCTCGAAGCATTGGAGATTGGGCCTGGGTCTGATTTTTTAGAAACTGGAGAAGTCAGCTCTGTCTGATTTTTGGCGAGAATTCAATAGGCCTATGGGCGGGCCGGCCGGACCCTGACCCTATATGGTCTAAGTTGGGCCGAATTTAAACCCCTAGGTAGAATGCCTATTGAGGCATCTCATTAGTTAATAATACCATGTGACAATGTTATATGCTATTAACAAAATATCAATTTGTATGTGAAGTTTGTAATTTCAAAGTTTTTTGTATAATAATAAATACTTTTATAGACAATGAAATTTTAACCTTGAAATTTGTGTTAAAATAATTAGATTTATCAAAAGGAAATAAAATTATTTATTCATATTATTTTTTATGAATAAAAAAGAAGAAGATAGTTTTGATTTTATTGACATATAAAACTTCTATAGATTGGGTTGAAAATCAGGAATTCTTTTTTTAAAAAAATTGACAATTCATTTTCTTTTTATTTTTCCAAATCCAAAAAGAAGAAGTAGAAGACGACGAAGAAGAAAAGTCTTAACTTCTAGTTCATTTTCTTTTCATGTAATTTTCTTTGTTATTTTTTTCCTTCACAAATCTCATATCCAAAACACAACTTAATGAAGTATTTGGTTTTTATTGATTTTCTGAAAATTGAGTTTTTTTATTTTTTATACATATATTTTTTATTTTTAGTTGTTTTTTTAATATTTAAATTTTTTTTTAAACTTTCTAATTGTACATAACTTAGATGTGTCTAAAAAGTAAAATATTTATGAAAAAATATTTTAAAAGTTCAATACATACACAAGAATATAAAAATGTACTGAATTTTTGTATTTCTTTTGTGTTTTTTGTATTTGATAAATTTTTAAAGAGTTTTTTTTTCATAAAAGTATATTTTTTAAGTATATCTAGGTTAGGTGCATTTAAAAAATAGAAAGAATGTTAAAATATTAAAAAAAAAAATGGAAAACACAAAACTCAATTTTTTCAAAAAGTGAACTCAGTTTTCTGAAACCAAACGAATCTAAGATCCATACATAACCTAATTAGTATACTAGAAGCAGCTCTTTAGTTAATCACTTCTGCAAATTTCAATAAGCACAAACTGTACATGGTTAAATCGCATCAGTTTATTTATTTATTTATTTTTTATCATATTGGCTATCATGAAATAATAATAACAACAATAATAAATAAATAAATAAATCTAAGGACACAAAACCAACAACAAAAACTGGTTTTGGTTACAGATAATAAGCAGTAAGACTCGTCATAAAAAAATAAATAAATAACTATAGAAGAAGAACAGTTTCATTGGGAAATCTTTTTATAGGTGAATTTGATCAAATTGTGGCAATACTTCATATGCGATTATTCAATCAAACCTAAACTTGGAACAATTTAATTTTGAAACTAAACTAATTTTTCAACCAGTGGGGCAGTCCACTTCATCTTATTGTTTTTTTCATTTAGTTATTTATCGTATTATCTATCTATAAATACTTATCCATGCTCTGAAAGAACTTCAAGCCCTTCATCCCTCCATCCAAACAACTGTTCCTCATTGCTTGTAGTTACAAACCAACAATGACATCCTTAGCGGAGAGGCTTTCCAACCAGTTGTTCCGTTCCATGTCCTGTTTGTCTTTCTCATGGTCCTTGAATTGGTCTCTTCTTTTAATTCCGCTACTTATGCTGCTTCTGCAACTACTAAAGTTGGAGAAGACGGAACTGAAGCTGTGGCTCTCTTGACATGGAAAGCTAGCCTTGACAACCAGAGCCAATCTCTCTTGTTCTCGTGGGCTGGAAGCAATCATTGCAATTGGGTTGGAATCGATTGCAATAATGCTGACAGAGTCATCCATATAGACCTTGAGAGTAATGGCTTGAGAGGTACACTTTCCAATCTTAATTTCTCTTCCTTCCCTCGTCTCCTCAGCCTTAAACTTCATAACAACTCAATCTACGGGACCATCCCCTCGAAGATTGGTAGCCTTGCAACACTCACCTACCTTGACTTGTCCAACAATTATCTTTCAGGAACAATTCCATCAGAAATAGGAGTACTCTGTTCTCTCACAATTTTGTATCTTTATGATAATCAACTTTCTGGATCCATCCCTCAAGAAGTTGGAATGCTAAGGTCTATAATTGAACTTGAATTGTCAACAAACAATCTCACAGGTTCAATCCCTGCTTCTATAGGGAACTTGACCAACTTGACCATTTTATACCTTTATAAAAACAAACTTTCTGAATCCATCCCCAAGATGTTGGAATGCTAAGGTCTCTAATTAACCTTGATTTGTCAGAAAACAATCTCACAGGTTTGGTCCCTACCTCTATAGGGAACTTGGCCACCTTAACCATTTTACACCTTTTCAAAAACCGTCTTTCTGGACCCATCCCTCAAGAAGTTAGAATGCTAAGGTCTCTAATTGAACTTGAATTGTCAACAAACAATCTCACAGGTTCAATCCCTGCTTCTATAGGGAACTTGACCAACTTGACCATTCTATACCTTTTTGAAAACCAACTTTCAGGAACCATCCCCCAAGATGTTGGCATGCTAAGATCTCTAATTAAACTTGATTTGTCAACAAACAATCTTACAGGTTCAATCCCTGCTTCTATAGGGAACTTGGCCAACTTGACCATTCTATACCTTTATAAAAACCAACTTTCTGGATCCATCCCCCAAGATGTTGGAAAGCTAAGGTCTCTAACTGAACTGAGTTTATCAACAAACAATCTCACAGGTTCAATCCCTGCTTCTATAGGGAACTTGGTTAACTTGACCATTCTATACCTTCATACAAACCAACTTTCAGGATCCATCCCCCAAGATGTTGGAATGCTAAGGTCTCTAACTAAACTGAGTTTGTCAATAAACAATCTCATAGGTTCAATCCCTACTTCTATAGAGAACTTGGCCAACTTGACCATTCTATACCTTCATACAAACCAACTTTCAGGATCCATCCCCCAAGATGTTGGAATGCTAAGGTCTCTAATTGAACTTGAATTGTCAAAAAACAATCTCACAGGTTCAATCCCTGCTTCTATAGGGAACTTGGCCAACTTGACCACTTTATACCTTTATGAAAACTGTCTTTCGGGATCTATCCCTCCAGAAGTTGGAATGCTGAGGTCTCTCATTAAACTCAGTTTGTATGCAAACAATCTCACAGGTTCAATCCCTCTTGAGTTAGGAAAACTAAACTCCCTAACTTATTTCAATTTGCGTGATAACAAACTGACAGGCTCCGTTCCTTCAGAAATGAACAATCTTACGCATTTGCAAATCTTTGATGTAAGCAATAACAAGCTCATAGGTCATATACTACCGCATATCTGCATTGGAGGATCACTTACCAAACTACTTGCATCAAACAACTACTTAATAGGTGATATCCCAAAATTCTTGGGAAATTGCAGTCAGTTACGTCGAGTTAGGCTTGATCACAACCAACTCACTGGAAATATATCTGAAATTTTCGGGGTACTCCCAAACTTGGTATATATCGATCTGAGTTATAATAACTTTTATGGTGAACTTTCTAAAAAATTAGGGCAGTGCCATAATTTGACTAGTATAAAGTTCTCCAACAATAAAATCTCGGGAAATATACCACTTGAGTTTGAAGGTGCAAGTCAGTTGCAACTACTTGACCTCTCTTCAAATCATCTAGATGGAGAGATCCCAAAGAGTTTAGGAAAGTTGGCCTTATTGTTCAGTATTTCTCTGAGTGATAACAAACTTTCAGGCAACATTCCATTAGAATTTGGCAGGCTATCTAATTTGGAATATCTAAACTTGGCGGCAAACAATCTAAGTGGATCAGTTCCAATCCAAATAGGGGAGCTTGTGAAACTATGGAACTTGAATTTGAGCAAAAATCTACTCAGGGAGGATATTCCTTCTAAAATAGGCACATTACAGTTTCTTTGGAGTCTTGACCTTGGAAACAATTTGTTTAAAGGTGAGATTCCACAACAGATTGGGGAATTGCAAAGCTTAGAGACATTAAATCTATCTCACAATAAGCTGTCTGGTTCCATTCCATCCTCTTTTAATGGGAGATCAAGTTTGTCATATGTTGATAATGCAATATCACCAAGCGCTCAACTGGTGACGTCTGAGTCTTAAGGTCGGTCAAAAATGGGGTGTCTACAGTTGCCCCTCTTTGACAGAACTCGGAAGTCATAAGTGACGGGAGTGAATGTCAAAGCCCAGAGACGACCCATTTTTGACAAGGCCGAAGACTTAGACAAACATACAAGATAGACAAAGATGTGCCCGCAGGCATGCCCGCAGGCAGGGGGCAAAGTGCAAATGAAAATGCAAGAAAATTTTGAAGATTGGACTTATACGCTGCGCGAAGCCGGTTTTGAATGTTGGACTTATACGGTACGCGAAGCCGGTTATCGCTCATGATCATGTGAATGCAGCAAGCTGTAATGAAGCAAGTATTCGCAAGTAGATGCAACAGTTTTAAGCAAGAATGCAAAGCAACAACTACATTTCATGCACTTAAGAATGCGGAGGATTATTCAATCCCCGCCACGTCTCACACGGAGAAGATACGATACCTGCGCGATTCGTCTGGTCGCACCAGCCTCAATTGAACCGTACATACAATATCGTGCCTGCAAAACGAGAAATTGCAACAAGTACAATATGCTAACAACATATATTTAATGTGATTTCGAAAGTTCGACATACGCAATGCCGGTGAGTGAATGCATCGCAATGCAAGAATGGAACATGTGTGACAACGTATGCTCAAACACAGAGGTATGCCAATATCGAGGAATGTACATGACAAGGTAAGTATGCTTATGAGAATGCAAGATAATGTGCAGGATAGTACAAAACGAGCATAAATCAGGGTGTTCATTTGTCATGAAACAACGAGTACGGAAACGCGTGTTTCGGCGAAGGTAACTCAATCGCGGCCTCTGATCTGCTTCCCTGAAAGGTTACGACTCACTTAAAAAGGATACACTTTGATTTCGATGAATGATGATGAGACACATGTCAGAACTTGAAACCGAAGTCCCGGCGGAGCAATTTCGCGACCGGAAGTGTACTTTTCTTGAACTTTTTCAGGTCCCGGGAACTCCGATCTTCCTCAAAATTTGCAGAGAGCTAGGTGAGCATGTGGGGAGCATGGCCGGCCGTTTATCTTCCCAAGGGGGGGTGGCCAACCGGTTTCCATTAAAGCTAATGGCTGGCCGGCCATTTCTGCAAAAAGCAGATGGCTGGCCAGCTAGAAAAAGGGGCCGGCCGGCCATGGCCTTTTTCCGGGGGCATTTCGGTCTTTTTCCCTCCTTTTGATGCTCTTGCAATCCAGGGCCTTGAGGCTTATAAAAGGCAGCCGAGCCCTCTTCATTTTCTTGCATTCTACAACGCTTTCTTCTCCAGATCTGAGTTTCACGCGCATTTTCCAACGCCCCGCGCAAATTGTTTTCGCAAAAACACTCAGTTTTAAGCACTTTGGAGTGATTAAATTCCGGCTTCGGAGCTTCTTTTGTTGTGAAGCTAGCATTGGCATGTTTACACACCAGTCCACAGTGCCGACCAACAATGCGACAAATTTTTGTGGCTTTATCAAAACAGCGACCACCTCTGCAGAATTCATTTCACTTGATTTCATTACGACAACTCTTTCATGTCAAATGTTCAACCTCCTGAGCATTCTCCTCTTCCCTTTATTGTTTTGTGTTTTTGTTTTTCCATTTTTACTTTGAAATTTTGATTTCCATTCTCTTTGTTATCTATTTCTCTGCCATTTTCTGTGTTCAAAGTTGGAAACACATTGAAATACTATTGGTAAATAAAAACTTGTTCTAAAGGACAGGTGTGAATAAGATGAAGAGAAGGCTACTTGGTTACGTAGCTTTTTATCCTTATGATATGTTTGGCTGCAATGTTGTAATTTGTAGCCTCATTAAATTCTTGGCTTTTCATAAACCTAGCCTGGACCATGTGGTGACCCCTCTTTGTTTTCCTTTGCTGTAAATGTTTTGTATGCTTAAGTAATCAAAGTGATCAATTGATTCAGTAAGTAACTAAACAATTCAATTGAACAGATCTCCTTATGAGCCATGTGATTTAGAGTATTTTTTGCAGTTTTTTTCTAAGCTGTTATTAATTTATAAGCTGCATCTAAAAACACACTCACCATTTCAGAATAATAAATTTTTTTTTTCTACTTATGTAACCTAGTTCTATTGCATAAATAGAAATTATAACCTAACTAAATATTCCAAAGTAAAAAACGAAAATAAGAAGGCATAACCAACTCATTTGAACTACAACAAACCAATGAAGTAGCAGCTGTTATAATGTACATCTGCAATTGCATATGTGTCATGATAATTCAAATTAACGCACACTTGAAAGCAGAGCATAACCAGGTTTCTCGTTTATTTCTTTTTCCGTTTGTTCTCTCTTCCTTCTTTGTTTTCTTTTCTATATTTGTTTCTTTGGCAGAGCTTGCTTTCACAATAAGAGTCAATACTACTACAAAATCATAAATAGATTGCATATTTTAAATATGATGTATGGTATTTAATCACAAATTTTTATTTTGTCAAAGCATAATTTTTAGGAGGGTGATTGCTAACGATCATTTTCGATCACACTTTTTGACTGTCATTAAAAGCTAATTTCATCATGTGCTTTGATCGTGATAATAAACATTTAGATCACAAATTTTAAATGTGATCAATAACTAACAAAACCTGAGGTTGAATTTAAATAATCCATAATTAATAATTAGATAACATCACAGTTATATGCATTTCTCATCACAATTAGTACGTGTGATAAAAGAAAAAAGTTCGACAACAAAATACAACTATCAATCACAATATATCAACCATGATTAAAATCTAAACAGAACTAACGTATAAAATATAATCAATATTATTTGTACAAAAATTTCCTTTGAATCACAATATTGACCACATATGAATAGCTAATAACCTTATATATTTCATAAATAAAAGTCTACTGTTGGAAAATATATACAAAGAAAGTTAAGATTCTTGAGAAAACTTAAGGAGAACTCAAAATTCTTGAATGTTCTATTTTCTTTGACTATATTTCGTATCTCTCCAAGCAATTTCTAACCTGAATAATGAGAACACAAATTAGTTCAAAGGTTGCTAGAAGTATAGGAATAAACTTACTCATTTGCTCAAAATTAAAGAAAACAAAAATTGGAAGGAAAAAAAAAAGAATCTAAAAAGTTCATAAGATTGATTAGAGTTTGAATTAATCAACTAGAGATGAAATTAAATGTAAGGGTAACATCATCAAAGATTCATTAACTGGATAGACAATGAAAAATAGAAAATTCTTGACAAGTGGTCTATTGACTTGGGACCAGAAGAGATAAATAGAATGTTAATACAATTTAACAAATCAGAGCTATCAACTTGCAGATGAACCAAAAAAATAAAAAATAGAAGTATGCAATTGCTTGTATATTTGCAAGAGTATCATACACATATGAATACATAATAAACAATAAATGCCATATCATAATTCAAATGTATCCGTTTTTAAATGTATGACTCTACTTTTCTAATCTAATAAATAAATCTACAATTCCTAGGCTTCCATTTACTTTGACTACGTTTCTAAGACATCATTAATTTGCTAAAATATTATACTTCACATAGTCGCATAATCTAGGGTAGTTTGAACTGGGGCAAAGGTTGGGTACATAGATGTAATATTTCATGGTTTTGGCCCCCAACAACATTTTTTTCAAGCTCAAGTGTTAGAAAATTACAAATTTTGACCTAGTATTCTCTTATTCCTTCTCTTTTATTATTATTATTAATATTTATTTCTATTGTTTTTTCCTTGAAGTGTGTTAAGCATCACTTTTAAAGTCATTCTGCATAACACTAGGAAAACAGATAACACATAAGACCCAGGGAACATACAAACTTAAAATCAAAAGTCAAAAGGTTGAAACAACCTTAAGCAATTATGTTAAACAAAATCCATACTTACAATTATGTCAAGAACTCACCTGGTATCATTATTGAAGAAATTGCAACCTACAAGTGATAGTAATGTAATAAGTATTTGAAACCACAAATACATTTGCTATGTTACTTAAGAAAATTTACATAACATCAGTTTATGCAACCCATTTATTTATGGCTAGAAAGTTAAACAATAAAGGGGGGGGGAAAGATAAGAGAAGGAAGTTATTCACCACCAGGATGTCACCACTAGGATTTGAATAAGATATAAATCTACTTAGACTGACTAAAGCAATGAATTGAAGACACGATCATAAAATAAGGTCTAATGCAAAATTACAATGAATCTAGAGACATCATTGTTTTGTCCCTCATTGCTATAATAATACACCAATAAAAAAGAAAATACCACAAGATCAAAATCCACAATAATAACCAAAACTGAAATTAGACTAGAACAAGACATTCTAATTTGTGACCTTGCAACTGTCAGGAAAAAAAAAAGAACAGAAAATGTTTATACAAAGCATCAAAGCAATAACCAATAAGTGTGTGTTTAATGAAGTTCAACCCCAGTTTGATGTGTTGTGAGAGTTGATCAAAGTGCAACAGTGTGTTTCTTTCACTAAGACTTTATAAACTCAAACCCTTGGTTATTGTAGGAAATATGAAGTTAAATACAAACACATGCAAGAAAATCAAAGCCATTACATTGCAGTTCAAAGAAGTAAATAAATAAATATTTAAAGTGCAAAACTACAAAGAAGAAGACCATGTTCGAATGAGCATTCAGTATAAACACATGAATTTCATAGATATTATAAATGGCATTACATAATAAAAAATCGGGAAAAGAAAACGTTAAAATTTATTTAGACTATAGTATAAATTCTAGAGGCTAGAGAACACTTGCATATTTTAAACCCATTTCAAAATTTAAAATCCATTTAGACTATAGAAACTCATATAGTAAAGACAGTAATAACTTTAAAGTTTCTAGATTTACATCCATAAGACTGTGGAAACATGGTAACTGTTAAGAATAGGAACATATTTATATTTTAAAAAAAATGAAAAAGAAAATAGAAGAAACAGGGGAAAAAGCTCACTACCTATACAAGCAACCACAATAATTGTTACTTCATAATACACTAAAAAAAGGGAAAAGAAAAAAGAGAAGAAGCATCAATTACATGTTACCTTCCTCTTTGACAGTTGGCAATTGCTATGGCAATGCCCATGAAATTGATGGCCAAAACTGAATAACAAAAAATAGAGAAATGGTTATAAATTAGTGATAAAATTTGTGAATATAACAAATACTGAACCTAATAACAATAATAATAATAATAATGTTTTCTCAAAGATGAGCTAATAGTTTCTCAAATCCTCAAACATCAAAACTTTTAACTAAATCCTAATAACAATAACAAAAACTATAATAATAATCTGTAAAATCAAATTTACAAAAGGTAAAAACAACAATCAGATTAAAAGCAAAGCCTACACATGTGAATATGTTATATATAAATATCTAAATGTTCCTTCAAATCAGATAAAGAATGGGTCCTATTCTCATATGCAAACAGAGTTTCTCAACAAGTTGACATACCTAAATGACAATATGCTGCATTTTTCGAGGACAATCCACCTCAACTACCAAGTCAACACCAATAAGTATAATTTTGGTTCAAACTTTGCATTAAATTTCATACCAATTCAAGTTGTTTGACTTGAAGTTAAAACTACAGTCAAAATTCAAAATTTTGACCTCTGACAAGAACAGTACTTCATGCAGTCACTACTGCTCTAAATGCACACATATAACCTGCCATTTCAAGCCTATGAAGAAAAAAAAAAATGAAGGCAAAAGAAGAATAAATTATGGCTATGTTTCAGCATATAGAAATCAACATCAAGCAAATAAACTTAGCCTAAATCGTTAGGATTAGGTAAATTTGCAACATCACTCTACAAAAATCCGTTCTAGATGTTGACGAAAACATAACTATTTAACAACCAAAAAAAAAAAAAAAGAACGACTACACTCAATAAGATAAAGAAAATCACATGGATAAATGGAAGAGTACATCAGAGATATGTCTCAGAACAATGATAAACTAAGAGAATTCTTCAAAACAAAAATTTTGAAAAAAGTAATTGTCACTAAAAATAATTTGCTTACGCAAGACTTAGAAGAAATGAAAGAACTAATATAATGCTTTCAACTCAATCAAACATAAAATCAATTCATAAATATACCATAGAGGAATCAAATATTTTCATATTTCGATTTCGATTTTGATTTTCAAATACTACAACAATTTAAGAATGGTTAGGGTTTCAAAAAAAAAAAAAAAAACAAATTCTAGCTTCAAAACCTTACTAAATCTTCAGTTCTTCCCCAAGTCAATGAGTTCGACAATCGTGAGAAATAAGGACAGGTTACGAAGGGTTGCAACACCGGTGGTGAAGATGGAGGGTGTCCGGGAAGAGGCGGCGGTGCAAAGGGTGTCCCCGTTGGAAAGAGGGAGCAAAGTGACGCGGGTGTGATTTATTATATAGATAGGTATAAAAACAAAAACAAAAAAAGCTTATGCAACCAGGCTTTTATAGAAATTGTGATTAAAAAAAAAAGAAAAAAAAAGAAAGAAGTATGTGGTTGTGTGATTAAAAATGAATATTATTTTATTTAATTAATTAATTATAATTATAATATTATTTTAATTTTTTTAATCACACTTTTAATAAAAATAAAATACTTTTAATTTCTTATGCATGACCTTTAAATATTATTGTAATAATTGTGATGCACATAAATTCAAAGTGCTAACATTGAAAGTGATTTTATGAAAAACCATCCAGTGATCTCATCTCTTCCCTACCATCGTCATCGTCATGAAAGTCAAATATCCATGCCAAGTTTTTAAAGGATATTCTGGCACAGAAAATGGTTTTGATTGCAAAGCTAGCATTTGCATGCTAGTCCACAAACTCGCCCAACCATGGGTGCTTTTAAAACAAAATCCACCTCTTCAACATTCACTCCACATGATTCCCTTGGAATAATATTAGAGATTATAAAAAAAAATATCATGAAATATTTCATGAAATTTTTTTATCATTTGATTAGTGTATGATATTTTATTATATGTGTAATTTAAGGATAGAAAATTTTTCATGATCATCTTTATGATAGTTTTTTTCATGATCCCTAACATTACTCTTTCATTGTTATTTAGTGACATTCATTTTCAACTTTCTAAGCTTATGCACCCTTTTTATACTCTAATAAATTTACGGACACACACACAAAAAATTTACTTAAAAAAATTATGTTCCAAATTCCACTATTGTATGGTGAAATCCACATTTGGAATGAATGTACATCACACACTGCTTTTTCTTCATATTTTTTGGGTATGAATTTGATGTAGGTAGGCCAAAAGTACCACATTGAGGCCACTTAAGTTACACTTATAGCTTTGAATTATGATTATTTGGTGAAGATGATGTATTTTGTGTACTTGTGCAGATTTGACAAGCAACACATAAATTCAAGTGAAAGTGGCACAAAAGCAATTCTCCACGCAAGCAATGACATTTCTCAGCCTGCCATCTCACCACATGTGCGGCCAGACTTCACCACACGTGTAGCCCATCACCGCTCGAGTGGAAAATGTGGGTGCTCGAGTGGCCAACCTAGCAACACGTGCACGAAATTTTGACTCGTAGCCTTTTTAACTCGAGTTATTAAGCCCGTAGGAGTGTCTCTACACCTAGTGCCCTAAAACCGTTTGGTTTGGGCGTCGTTGACCCAATGCTTGTTACATGGGCTAATTAGAAAACTTAATAAATCAGAACATTGCACAGTCTTAAAAAATAAAAAATAAACAAAAAAAAAATTGAGAATCCTGATTGCAAAAGTTTAGTTTTTTCTGTATGTGTTGGATGTTATTGTGAGTTACACTGGGCTATTATAATGGACAGTTAACTAGTTATGGGGATTGCACTTTACACCGAGAGCACTGATGATGTGTTTTACTAGCATTCACAATCACAAGGAACTTAACTTTTGTAATATTGAATTGTGGTTTTTTCTTAATAGATTCCTTTATGCTTGTCTACTGTACCTTCAATGACTTATCATGTCTTAATATCGCACTATAGTTGGCACATAAGTTAATTCTTAGGTGGAGAAGTGTGGTTAATTGTTGTTGGGCAGATGTAAATATGTTGATATTTGTGAGTATCATTTTTGAAAACCCTCACGAGATTATACTCATCTACTTGGGGAAACTTTATGGTTTAAAGGCTTGTTATGTATGCTAAATGCAATCGTGATTCCTACTAAAATGGCTTAGAGTTATTTCATTTTTCTTATTTCTTTTGTTTTGCTCGAGAACTAGCAAAATGTAAGTTGGGGGATGTGATGTAAGCCGAAGGTACTACATTGAAGTCACTTAAGTTACATTTATAGTCTTTGAATTATAATTATTTAGTAAAGATGATGTGTTTTGTATACTTGTGCAGATTTGGAAAGCAACATGCAAATTCAGGCGAAAAGTAACAAAAGCAAATTCTTCGTGCAAGTAATGAAATTTCTCAGACTGCCATCTCACCGCACGTGCGGCCAGACTTCACCGCATGTGCGGCCCATCACTGCTCGAGCGGAAAATATGGGCGCTCAAGCGGCCAACCTAGCGACATGTGGGCAAAATTTTGACTTCATCTAACTGGGAATAAAAGAAGAAAAAAGAGGCCAGAATAGGGTTCTGAAAATTTCCAAAAGAGAGGAGGGGCTAGGGTTTGAAGAGAAAGGTTTTCAAGCTTTAAGAACATCTTCTATGGGGGTTTCCTCTTCCTCTTCTTACTCTTTCATGAGTGGCTAGTTCTTCTATTTCTAGGGTTTTGATGAATCCCCAGCCATGTAAATAGGGTTTTCTTTTTGGTTTTTAATCATGTAATTGTTTGAACAAGTTGTATGGTATTTAATAAGTTTTTAAATATACTTTCCGTGATTTCTTCAAGTATTATACTTTCTATGATTGTTGAATACTTTTCATGCAATGGCTTTTTGTTCTTTCATATTCAAGATATGAGATGAGCCATACTATAACGGACGAGTCGTGTTGCTACTCTAACTTAGAGTGAACAACTACTTGAGATGGTTTGTGCCTACATATTGAACGTGACAATTCTCTTGATCAATGCTTCAAACTTGTAGTTGTGAAGTATTATTTAGTTTGAATCGTAACACAATTGATTTCCAAATTGAGACCTTATTCATGTAGCTAGTGGTGAATTAAATACCCTAGGTTTTTCCCAAAATTACTATCTTCAATTTCTATTTTAATTGCTAATTTAATCTCTTAGTTTCTTTTAATTATTATTAGTCTATGAACCATCATCTTGTTGATCAAAATTAATTCAGGACTTTAACAATTAAATTAGTTTAGTTTCACATTTGTCCCTATGGATCGATACCTAGACTTACCATTTTTCTAAGGAATTTGGTATAGTTTAGTGTTTATTTTTGGTGTGTAAAACGACCCAATAGAATTCTAAATCCATAGCAGTTCTATTTCTGATACTATATTATGGTTGTTCCTGTTTTTGATACTATGGCTCTTCCTTTTGTTTTTTTAGGTAATAAAAATGGATATGTAGATAGGTTACTTCACATATTTGCCAAGGAATATTGCCCCTTATCACCCATAGCGCATCTACAATGAACCCCACTGCATCTATGTCAGGGCTGAACCTAAGGTCTCGAGTGCTCTGGGCACTAAGAAGTATGTTTAACCCCAACAAAGGGTTATGAAGACTCAAATTCAGGCTTTGAACGAGTAATTCAAAAGTCTTACTACTAAACTAACCCTATTGGTATGGCTTTTCCTTTTGTGCATATCCACATTTTGATCTCACCATCCTTGTAGTGTATTTCTTTTGTTAAGGCTTTTTTTTTTTTTTTAATTAAAAATTTGAGGGTTGAGGTTCACTTGTTTTAAATCCATGTAATGCATTTAATAAAAGATTATAGTTACACACTTTTTTATTATAATTTTTCATCACTTATTAACAATAAAAATGGATTTCATACTATGTGATAATGTGAGATTCATTGTGAGTAAGGGATACAAAATATTATTAAAAAAAAAGGGGCACTTACCAATAGGTCCCATATACAAAGTTCAAAACCTATTTAATCCTAAAACAAAATACTTGTGCCAATTAGTGTTGTACATTTTTAATTGTTATCAAAAAATTCTATTTTTTTTTTTTAAATTTAAAGATGCTGGTACATCCCACTATCATTGGATTTTCGTCAGACGGTCACTAGAGGCTCGCCGGAATGTTCAACATCATCAGGAAGTGGCTGGAGTATCGTTAGAAATTCACCGAAGCTTTTCCAAAATGTTCTGAATGTCACCTGAAGTCATAAAATGTCTAGAACGTTTGCTGGATTAAGAACATCGTCGAAGACTCACTGAAATGTCTAGAATATTATCGGGAAAAAAAATGAATAAATGAAGAAATAAGAGTGAAAAAACATAGCAAAATGTGTTAAATATGGTTAAACTGAAAGAGAAAAAAAATGTAACAACAATTAACAGCAACAATGAGGAAAAACATAAGTTATTTTTTAATTTTTGTAGGGTTTAAGCAAATAATCTCCTATATTAATCAAACTGAAATGCAAGCTTTGAAACTGTAAAATTGAGTTTCAAAGCATGATTCTATTAAGTATTTCTTCTTATTAATCAAACTGAAAAATATGTTATGAAACCGTAAAATTTTACAATTTTAAAGTATGTCATTAAATTGCAAAATTTTGCAGTTTTAAAGTACGATTCATTTCAATACTAAAAAAAACTGAAATTCAAAAATTTTACAATTTTCGCCACCTATGACTAAAACTTCACTAGAAAAAATTTTGGGTTTTTGCGACGGTACGGTGCCGTCGCTAATACTCTTAATGCCGTTTCAAAAAAGTTATAGCGACGGCAAATGACCTTTAGCGATGGCAAAGGGGGGGTCACAACAGAGGGTGTTGTAAAAACCTTTTAGCGACGGCCGTCGCTTTTTTTTTGCGACGGCAGCAAATGTTACCTTTTGCGACGGCAATTAACTGTCGCATCTAATATGTAAAAAAGTCGGACCTTTTGTGACGGCACCGTTTTACCATCACTAAAAGTTCTATGTGAGACGGCAAAAAATACTGTCGCGAATGGTTTTTTTTTTGCAACGGCATGCCCACCGTTGCTAAAAGTTTTATTTGAGCTGGCAAAAAACGCCGTCGCAAAAAAAAAAAATGCAATATAATTATTAAAAATATTAAAATTACCTGTTTTTTGCGACAGTGTGGTGTCGTCAAAAAAAAAAAAAAAAAAAAAAATCCTACAATAAAATTATTAAAAATATTAAAATTACCTGTATTAAATGAAAAACCATTGAAAAAGAAACCAATAATTGCATAATAATATAAAAATTCCTGTATAGAAAAAATAATTTCTCCATAATAAAAATATTATTGCATTCATAACTACATATCAACAAAATTACCCCACTA